AGTTGTAAATCTGAAATTTTGTGGACATTCGTACCGTGTTAACCAATCAGGAGCCTGCTCTTGTAAGGGCGTGACTTAGGGGGACATCATACTGCTGACACTGGACAACAGCTCATCAAACTGGGCTCGGCTCAGTCTAACGCACCGCTTCTTCTTCTATGTGAAGCTGCTTTGACACAATCTACATTGTAAAAGCGCTATTGAAATAAAAATGAATTGAATTGAATTAGGAAGGCTAAAAACCAGTGCAAATTTGTTTGACTTCGTGTCTATGTCCATTACATCCTTTAAGAGGTGCATCCAGCTGTGAGTTCATCAACTCCTCCGGAAACCATACCTGGATGATGGATGATGGAATGTTTCAGCGGTGCTTTAGACTGAGCCGAGCCCAGTTTGATGAGCTGTTGTCCAGTGTCGGCAGTATGATGTCCCCCTAAGTCACGCCCTTACAAGAGCAGGCTCCTGATTGGTTAACACGGTACGAATGTCCACAAAATTTCAGATTTCCAACTCAAGCGATTCGGGTGTGACCATGATGGTGCATTAACAAGGGGGTTGTCTCATGTGAGTGCACTATAATGGTGGATGGCTGGTTCTCACTCAAGGATGTTTATACTACCAAGGAAAAGATTGTCATTAATGAGCGGCACATCAGATTTACCAACTCAAGCAATTTGAGTGTTAGGATCGTCAAACACTGCCTCATTTGCACCACCTCATTCGCGCGAATAGCACCACAGGATGTCTATTTGCGTCTTTGCATTGACCTCAGGGCTGTTTATGCCATCAAGGATGAGATTGTCACTAATGAATGGTGCTTGAGATTTTCCAACTCATGTGATCAGAGTGTTAAGCTCGTCAAATGCTGCCTTGTTTGCGCAAATCGTATCATTTGTGCTGCCTCATTCGCGCGGATAGCACAGCAGGATGTTTTTTTGCGTCTTTGCTTTGACTTCAGGGCTGTTTATGCAATTGATGATGAGATTATCACTAATGAGTGGTGCTTCGGATTTTCCAACTCAAGCGATTCGAGTGTTTAGCGTGCCAAAAACTGCTTCATTTGCACGAATCGTGTCATTTGCGCTGCCTCATTCGCGTGGATAGCACCATAGGAGGTCTATTTGAGTCTTTGCATTGACTTCAGGGCTGTTTATGCTATCAAGGACAAGATTGTCAGTAATAAGCGGCGCTTCAGATTTTCCAACTAATGCCATTCGAGTATTAAGCGCATCAAACACGCAAAACACTAAATTTGCGCCGCTTCATTTTTGCGCCACCTCATTCGTGCGAATGGCGCCCCAGGATGTCTATTCACGTCTTTGCATTGACTTAACATGTAAATCACTCGCACTTAATGTTTCATCCACGTCTGGTGTGAATGCACCATGATGGTGGACGGCTGGTTCTCACTCAGAGCTGTTTATGCTATCGAGGAAGAGATCCCCATCTGATGACATTTACAAAGGGAGAATGTCAATCAAAGTGTTTGTGCAGACTGTTTTTATCAAGTGTGATTATAAAAAAATATATAATTCATAAGTTAACCATTAGAAGATGGATATCTTCACACACTGTGTATAGTACACCCCTTATAAAAGTGATTGTTGCATAATAGGTCCCCTTTAAAACAAAGATAATATAATGTCATAATGAAATACCTGAGCAAATCCTGACACAGAGGCCACCAGGTTCATGCAAGCAACAGGAATATCAGTGAAATTCTGACCATAGCCATAGTAATTAACAAGATTGCAGATCTTCTCTAGGAGCTTGGAAGCTACTTGTATGCACTGAATGCCATAATCCACGCTCAGACAGCTACAAGAGGAATGAAAGCGAGTTAACCTTTATTATGATAAGATCTATTTTATTTAAGAATCATATACATGTATTTATGTTAATTCATAAATTCACAAGTGTGAATGGTCAAAATGTCAACATCATCATTAACAGCCAACGTCGACCATTTTAAAAGGGGATTTATTTATTTGATTTTTTTTTTCCAAATCAACTTATGGATGCTGATGTCTTTTGGTTCTTTTCTTATTTCCCATTTTCTTTTTACTTATTTTGTTGTATGATGAAGAGTTTTTATTTATAATAAGCACTTATGTTCATTATATGCAGTTGAAGGCAATTTCATTAGCCCTCTCTGAGACCCTGAGAGTGTATGCATTTATACATACATACATATATTTATATACACATACATACATACATACATATATATATATATATATATATATATATATATATATATATACATACATACATACATACATACATACATACACACACACACACACACACACACACACACACACACACACACACACACACACACACACACACACACACACACACACACACACACACACACACAATCACAGATTAATTCAGAATTATTAGCCCCCCTTTGAATTTGTTTTTCTTTTTTAAATATTTCCCGAATAATGTTTAACAGATTCAGAAAATTTTCACAGTGTGTCAAATAATAATTTTTCTTTTGGAGAAAGTCTTTTTTTTATTTCGGCTAGAATAAAGGCAGTTTTTAATTTTTTGTGAACCATTTTAAGGTCAATATTATTGGTCTCATTTAAGCAATTTTTTTTTCACCTGTCTACAGAACAAACCATCATTATACAATATCTTGCCTAATTACCCAACCCTGCCTACAGGGCCGGCGCGTCCATAGAGGCGACCAAGGTGGCCACCTAGGGCGGCAGTATAGAGAGGGCAGCTTTCGCGACACCTCCCTTACCACCCGTGTCCTCAGTTATGTCCGCGACACCTGCCTCACCACTCGCATCCTCAGTTATATTCGCGCATAGGGCGACAGAATAGAGAGGGCAGCGTCAGCGACACCTCCATCAGCACCCGCGTGTCCTCAGTTATATCCGCGCATAGGGCGGCAGAATAGAGGTCCGTGACACCACTTCATTTCATAATTGGTTACTTTCGTTTTCACATTGGGATTGAAGTCAGCGTGATAGTCCACTGCCTAGAGTGGCAGTTCAGCTTGCTCCGGCCCTGCCTGCCTAGTTAACCTAATTAACCTAGTTAAGCCTTTAAATGTCACTTTAAGCTGTATAGAAGTGTCTTAAAAAATATCTAGTAAAATTGTATTTACTGTCATCATGACAAAGATAAAATAAATCAGTTATTAGAAACAAGTTATTAAAACTATTATGATTAGAAACATGCTGAAAAAAAAACTTCCCTCCACTAAACAGAAATTGGGGAAAAAATAAACAGGGGGTCTAATAGCTCTGACTTCAACTACATATATATATATATATATAGTAATGTTTTATCTAAAAAATGTTTATGTAAAAAACAATAGAACTTTACCTGTATTTTTGTTCGAGCAATTGACTTTGAATGTGTGCCAGAACCTCAGTTGTACTCTGAGAACATATTACAATTATCAGTTAGAAAGTGTTTGACAGCTACTATTACTTTAGTTTGACAAAGGAATACTGCATGGCAATTAAATCGGTTCTGGTTTGTACATAAAATATATGGCTATTTCTTACGAAGAGAAGACACTCACTTCAGAAGTGGAGTAGTTTATAACATTAGGACATTTCATGGTGAAAAGCTGCAGGATGTCCAAGAGTTCCACATGGAAAATGGAGCTATATTCGACCAAATCATCTAAGGGCATCAGATACATCCAAGAACGAATCAGCAGTCTGTCTACCTGCACCAAATGTTCATTTGTTCTCATGATATTCAGCATCGCCCTAAAACAATTAAAACAAAATTCAACAATGTCAAAAATCACAAAAATATTTTCCAGAACATAAATGGGTTTAAATTTAGATGCCTACAGCAAAAATAGGATACCTGCGATCCTGAGATCCAAGGGAAGTTACATTAGCTGATCTGAGTCCCTGCAGTCCAGCCCAGCTCGGCTCAAACTTTGAGTTGACCTTAGTAATCACTTGCTCAAATGGCTTGGAAGTCCCTTTGAGAAGGTGCAGTAGAGGAATTACAACGATCCATTTGGGCATGTTCCCTGCTTTCACTCTGCTTATCAGTGCCTCCACCATGTCAGAAAAACTGAAGATGAAATTAAAGTTATCAAGGCCTTTTAGAAACTGATATGTCTCATAAAACTAGCTAGATGCATGTCTATGTTCCATAAATTAAACCATTATTGGTTTAAATACTGTATAAGCTCTGTTGACAGTACGCTTTCAAAAACTGACTTTCACATTAAGTTGTTACTAGGTGATTCCAAGGTTTAAAGTTAGTTCAAGAGTTCACACTTAGATATTGCTTGACAACTGTAAGAAGGTTTGGCATGCTGCCCCGGGAGAGAACCCTGAGCTCGGAGATAGTTTAGCCCAGGGCTCCCGCCAGGTCCATAGAGCATGTGAGAGGAGTACGAGATCAGGTGGTTCTCGAGAGCTCCCCTTTTTTGTAAAGGAGAAAAGGAGGAGAAAGGGGGTGGATGGGGGGTTTCTTCGCAAAACGAAGATAAGGGAGTAATATCTAGCTAGGCTACTTATAGTGAGTTAGGACAGATCTGATTGGCTAACTAATGAGTGTAGATAGGTGGCCAGCTGCAGTCAATTATATCACGTGCTCCTCTCGAAATTAGTTTAAAAACTTCACTTGGAAATGTACTCACATTATGCATTCATTTTGTTATCAATCCCAGCTAATTAAATATAACACAGACCATTGTTCCAATGTTTCCAGTGCATGCAATACGGTCTTCGTATCATGTGCTGTTATGATCTTTCAATACATTCTACTGAGATCTACGGGGTTGGACAATGAAAACTAAACGCCTGGTTTTAGACCACAATAATGTATAAGTGTGGTGTAGGGCCTCTTTTTACAACCAATACAGCATCTATTTATCTAAGGAATGACATATACAAGTCCTGCATAGTGGAAAGAGGGGTTTTGAGCCATTCTTCTAACTGAATTGTGGCTAAATCACTATGTGATGCTGGGAGAAAAAAACGTTTCCTGACTTGCTCCTCCAAAAAGGCTCAATAATATTTAAATCAGGCGACGCAGTGGCGCAGCGGGTAGCACGTTCTTCTCACAGCAAGAAGGTCACTGGGTCGCTGGTTTGAGCCTCGGCTCACTTGGCGTTTCTGTGTGGACTTTGCATGTTCTCCCTGCGTTCGCGTGGGTTTCCTCCGGGTTCTCCGGTTTTCCCCACAGTCCAAAGACATGCGGTACAGGTGAATTGGGTAGGCTAAATTGTCCGTAGTGTATGAGTGTGTGTGTGAATGTGTGTGTGGATGTTTCCCAGAGATGGGTTGTGGCTGGAAGGGCATCCGCTGCTTAAAAAACTTGCTGGATAAGTTGGCGGTTCATTCCGCTGTGGTGACCCCGGATTAATAAAGGGACTAAGCCAACAAGAAAATGAATGAAGGAATATTTAAATCTGGTGACTGTGCAGGCCATGGGAGATGTTCACTTTCACATTTTCAAACCATCTGTCTCCAGTCTTGCTGCGTGTATTGGTGTATTATCATCCTGACACACGGCACCACCTTCAGGATACAATGCTTGAACCATTGGGTGCACGTGGTATTCCAGAATGGTTTGGTGGTCCTTGGCAGTGATGAACCCATCTAGCATGAGTATTGGGTTAAGAGAATGCGGTGATATTGCAGCCCAGACCATCACAGCATGCAACAGCACTTCACTCTGCAACAGTCTGGGTGGTATGCTTCTTTGGGGCTTCTCCACACTGTAACTCCCCCAGATGTGGGAAAGACAGTGAAGATGGAGTCATCAGAGAACGATACATGTTACACATTGTACACTGCCCAAAATTTTTGTTTTGCTGCTGGCACCATTGAAACGGTATTTGCACAAGTGACCAAAGGTTTGGCTACACCGGCCTGGCCATGTTTATTGATCCTGTGGAGCTCCCGACAAACTCCTCTTACGTCCACAGTTACTCCTGTTAGATGTGGTTCGTCCTTCTTGGTGCTATGCTGACATTATCCTGGATAACATGGCTCTTGATACATCACAAAGATTTGCTCGCTTGGTCACAGATGCGCACCAACAATTTGTCCTCTTTTGAACTCTGATATGTCACCCCTAATGTGTGCATTGCAATATTTTTAAGCAAAACTGTGCTATTACTCACTTACATCACTCACAATCTGCTCTTACTGGTGGAATGTTTAATCAATTAAGTTTTGCTATTAGGCTGGTCAATCTTAGCAATAAAACCTCCAGTGTTTCAGTTTCGTTGTCCAACCCCTGAATATGATTAACATATAACTGAGGTAACTGTACTCACTTTTTCATATCTGAGAATGATTCAGTTATGTCAGTCCAGAGAGACAGGAAGTCATCCTTAGGTAAATTTGGCAGGCAGAGAGCAGTGCAGAGACGAGAAAGAGTACCGTAGTCTAATTCTAGATCGTATTGTTTCCACACATAGAGCATAATGAGACCAGCTTTCAGTGGCTCCTGGATGTATTTACTCTTTTCCTTGCTGTCCTTCTGTAGCTCTGGAGTCACGTGCATCAGCATGAAGTTCTTGAGGAGCTCGCGAACCTACCAGGATGAAAATTATTATTTTTTTATTTCAGCTTTGTCTTTAACCGTTGTGTATTGTTCAAGTTTACTACTTTCGTTATGTTGGTGGCTGTTTTGGCCTCATTGACTTCCATTATAAAAACCTTTTTTCATTACAAAGCTGTGATAACATATAATCATGCATTCTTAATTGTTGCTGGTTTTCCCTATTGGGAAGAGGTAAAATCTGTTCTATTGATCATCAGTTGGCACCATTATTTCTTTAGAAAGGCCTGTGGAAAAAAAAATTATGGCTTTTCTATGGAGTTCTACGGAGTTTAACAGCAAATTTTAGTGTCTGTGCATACATACACATCTGTGAACTGAAGCTTATTTAAGTAAGTGTGCAAAGGTCTCTCTCACACTGTCTCTCTCTTTCTCATCCACACACATAAACACTATACTCCATATAACTTTATATTAAAACCAGAAACTACGCTTTTTTTGCACTGCAACTAATTATTAACGGTAAAAATTACAAACTGTACCTCTTCTCAACAGGGAACACCAGCAATAAAGAATGAATGATTGCATGCTATCATGACTTTGCAGTCAAAAGATGTTCTTATATTAAGTCAATGGGGCAAAAACAGCTGCAAAAATAATGAAAGTGGAATAAATTTGCCCAGAGTGCATTGAGTGTTTTTTGTGTTTTTTTTTTTTAAATCAAGGCATATTCCCAAAATAAATATGAAAATAAGATTTGTCATTAAAATCATTCAATTTGCTAAAACACAGAGAAAGATGGGGCTAAATTAAAACTCAAAACCACCCCAGAGTGGATGAAAACATCCTCAACTGCACACAAGAGTTAATTAAAGAAATTCTGCACAGAACAATGTTTTGTGTCTATTATAATGTTTTGTAACGATGAAGATACGAGCTAAAGCACATCCAGGATGGTTGCTTTTGCAGAATAAAGCCCTTTAGCCTTATACAACAGGCTAATTCTGCATGAACAACCCACTGAATGTATGTTATCCCTGATGCATTTGTAAATGTTGAACTATAATTAGCAAAAACTCTTGCTAAAGAAGATTGTTCATGTTTGTAAATGTATTAACTAACATTAAATAATGGACCGTTATTTTAAAGGGGTACTCAGTAAACATCATCATGTTCATAAAACCATTTTGAGGCTAATTTTACTTTGTGCAACAATGCGAAGAATTTAAAAAAGCAACACAGTTCTTCATAAAACCAACTAATTTATAGTTTTTTTTCTGCATATGCAGACATCTGTTGGTTTACTTACATCCTTTTCACCAAAATCGAGTTGGGACCATTTCATTTGTTTCTTTTCAAATACAAAAGGGTTTCCGTAGACCTCATAAAACTGCCGGAATTGACTGAAGAAGTTGTTGAGGTTGATTTTGCTCCAGCTTCTCAGGAGGTCAAAGATAGTTTCCAGCATAACTCTAGCAGCAATTTTTCTTCCCTGAAGTACATTTTTCTTCTGATCAGACCATAAAGTTTTTCTGAACCAATCAAACATATTTTTAGATGGTTGTGCACAGATGATGTCATCATACTGATGCCATTCGCCTGCAAAACAATTAAGCAACAAAGTTTAAAAAAAAAAAAAAAGAAAAACTAAATAAAAAGTTAAATAAAGACTTTTGATGAGCTCTACCTTCATCATTCAGAAGATGTGATTTGATAAACAGACATCTGTTGGTGGTTTCTTCTGAATCCAGCTTGTAGATGTATTCATAATGCAACTCATAAAGTGATTCATACTTCTTTTTTGGTTTATACACAACATACTTGTAGGGGATGGACACAGCTTCAGCATCATTTTTTTTGCATTGACACTTCCCTTCAACAAGAAATCCATGCTCTTTAAGATCCCTGAAATGAGATGATTCTTAAAATCTGGATTCAGCAATAAATAAGCAGTAACTGGTGCAGACCTTACTAACCGTGACACAGTGAGTTCAACCAAATTATCTTCCCAGTTTCCAATGGGACCACCGGCCCTTATAAAAATCAAATCCTCTTCTGGGTTAAACTTGAAGTCTTTGGAGAGGACTGCATGAAAGTAAATGGTGAGTCTGTCACTGGAACTTATATGTTGAGTTGACCGTGTATTTCTGCAATTTAAAAATATTAATTAGAAAAACAGGAGAAAAAACAAGTGGAAAAAGCACATTATCAAAAGATTCAGCATACCTTTTTGGAAGTGTAACACATTGACTTTCAGTATCCTCGCTTTCCTTGCTTTTCTGGTCAGAAGAAGAGTCTTTTTTCCCGCCAGCGGGCTTCTTCTCAACTTTCATCGCTGAATCTGCACTTGAACCACGGTTTTTCTAAAGGCAAAATTTGTTTCATTCATTTTACCACGTTTGTAATTTCGACATATTGGTCTAGCCAATGCATAAACCAACATATGAATCAAGTGTCTTAAAGCAGTGGTCCAGAGTGTATTTTTAAGGCTTGGTTGTGTTTATAAGATGCAAAGCAGTGAGTGCTCATGCTTCAATTGTAAAAAAAAAATCTATAATCCTTACTTTGATTATATACTGCTACTCAGCTAACATAAAAACGACTGTCATATTTCCTAGTTCCTCCTAAAAGCCCACCCTCAAGAGGCTCTGCTTGGTCAGCTAACATAATGTGCAGTGATTTGCGGATCGGCTCCAAGTCAACAGGAAAATCGTCACACCCCTACAAGCACGCACTTCGCCTCTGTTGTTTAAATACTGTCAGTCAAAGTAGCTGTTAGCCGTATCAGTTTGAGCCTGACAGAAAATGAAGAGGACAGAGCTGAACCTCATCCCTGCTCTCTATCTGACAAGTGTCTTTCACATATGTTCGGAATAAGCATGTGTAAGTAATATGAAAAGTTCATATATCTTTTGCGAGTTCGTTATTTAAGATGTATAATGTTTGCAATGTATTACGTCCTTGCTACAACATACCATTAACGCTAGACACAATGCATGTCATAGATCAGGGGTGACCAACCCTGTTCCTGGAGATCGACCTTCCTGTTGATATTAGTTGCAAGCCATATCAAACACACCTACCTGTAATTATCAAGTGCTGTTCAGGCCTTAATTAATTGGTTCAGGTGTGTTTGATCAGGGTTGGAGCTGAACTTTGCAGGAAGGTCGATCTCCAGGAACGGGGTTGAGCACCGCTGTCATAAATCAATTTTAACAAATAAAAATAATTACAGGTTGTGGCTCACAGCTCCTGCTATTATGGTTGGAACTGCTCCTTCTTTGAGGAGTTTTTAGCTGAATCCAGCACTGAACTGGGAGAGGTTCTGGAAGCTGTCCTATGTCAAATGCTAGAGCTATGTATTATTATAATTCTCTGGAACATAATTAAAATGAAACTGTAAGCACTTCTCTCTTTGTGTCGTGTCCTTTGGAAGCCCAAATACAGAAACAGAAGAAGCTCTGTGGAAATAGCAGTGCTTGGTTGGCATTTTAGCTTTCTCTGCTATAACATTACAGCACCTCTGGCCACGCCCCTTCTCTGTGCGGAATGTATGTGCTTGATGAATGCACATAACCTAATGCGTTTGTGATCTCACTAACCCGGATGTATTTTTTTGTAGTCCCCAAACTTTGCTAAGCTAACTCTGTAAAAGCTAACGTCTCACTTTGCACTGAACTTTGAGCATATTACATTTAGAGATGTTGTTTATGCTCACACAGCTGCAATACACATAAACCTAAGTTTAAAATATGATATCATAGTGGACCACCCCTTTAAATGCATATATACATTTACATATATCTTATAAACATAGGCATTTTCTGCTTACCTTGGGTGCACTATTTGGGCCGAACACCATTTTCTGTGATTCTTCAGTCTGATTTCTGTAATTTATAAAGTGAATGTATAAAGTATTACTTAACTATAAAACTAACTAAAATAGAAGCAGATATTAATTTTATTATGATTAGATTAAGTGCATATTTTAACCCTCAGATTCCAGATTTCAAATAGCCACATATCTGCCAAATAGGCCCTGTTCACACTGTCAGGTCTTGATATCCAACTCCGATTTGTTGCCAGTATCTGATTTTTTTTACCGTTTTTAATCCAATTCATGTACTTGCCATACAAGTCGGCTGTAGCCCCCCTATATTTCTACTTAGCCCTCATAAAACTTTTGCAATTAGCTCATAAACTGTACACTAAATTATCCCCTTTAAATTTGATAAGAAAATGGCGACAGAATTCAGCGCCTCCCCGTCTTTTGCTTTTCATTCAATCAACAAACCACAGCCATCGACAGCGAGAGAGCGAGGTGTGCGTTTATTGATAAATTGTTATAATATCTGCTTATTTGCAGTTCTTTGATATAGATAACCTTGTATGACCTGTATCCCAGTGTCCCGAAGGAGCAGTCGAGTTTTCTCCACGTTCAACTCACCAGCACAGCTGTTTAATCCAGCGAAAAACGTAACTCTTATCGAACAATTCACTATTTTTATTTCAAAATGAACTACCAATATTAAACACTTTACAGTTCGTGAGGCATTAACTATACCATACAGTCTTGCACAGAACCACTTAGAGAATGTACTCGTTTTAACTGTCACTGAGTCACTGACAGAGATAGAAACATCAAGTGTTGTCAGGTATTAACAAAATTCTTATTTATTATTATCATTCAGATCGCGTAATATGTGAATTATCCTGTAAGTTTAAATATATATATTTATATGTGTGTCATTTAATTAGAAAAATGGCAGTTAATTTATTTAATACATGGAAACAAAAAATGCATTTGAATGTAGAAAGTGATTTTTACTGCAGTAAACAGGTGGGTTGAGCCTATTTGGCTTAATCAGAACTCAAATGGCTGTGCCTGTCAATGTAATACAGTGGAATACTAGTATACAACCCATACTAATCAAAGTCTTCATTTTTAAGTGTATTACTATTAAATTACTACGTATAAATGTAATATTAGGCTATATATATATATATATATATATATATATATATATATATATATATATATATATATATAAATTATTTATATATATACAGTTTTTTTCTTTTTAAAATATTTCCTAAATGATTTTTAACAGAGCAAGGAAATGTTCACAGTATGTCTGATAATATTTTTTTCTTCTGGAAAAAGTCTTATTTGTTTTATTTCGGCAAGAATAAAAGCAGTTTTTAATTTTTTAAAAACCATTTTTGGGACAAAATTATTAGCGCCTTTAAGCAAATTTTTTTTTCGACAGTCTACAGAACAAACCATTGATATATAATAACTTGCCTAATTACCCTAACCTGCCTAGTTAACCTAATTAACCTAGTTAAGCCTTTAAATGTCACTTTAAGCTGTATAGAAGTTTCTTGAAAAATATGTAGTAAAATATTATTTACTGTCATCATGGCAAAGATAAAATAAATCAGTTATTATAAATAAGTTTTTAAAACTATTATGCTTAGAAATGTGCTGAAACAATCTTCCCTCCATTAAACAGAAATTGGGAAAAAAATAAACAGG